AGTCTTCACAGGCTTCAGAGTTGGGGGGTTCTTGTGTTGACGCTTGTTCCTTGTCGTAGGGCGTCGAGCCTCGGGCGTGCGGCGTTATCGGGTCGGCGTTTCCTCGGCGTTCCCGTCGGGCGTGCGGCGTTATCAGGCCGGCGTTTCCTGGGGCTTGTGTGGCGTTATCGGGCCTACACAGGGGGGCCTTGTGCACGGCGGTTATCAGGCCAGTGCGGTCCTTCGCCTAGGCAGCGCGTTATCGGGCGCCCACCTAAACGGTATACGTTTAACGTGCCTTTGTTCCAGCACGGGTCTGTGGGGGGTGAGCACCCGAACCAGCAAACGACGGGGGGGCGCGATATCGAGGCGGCTCTACTTGCCGGCGCTTGGTGGTTCCTCTGGAACCTCGGAGAAGACGGGAGGTCTTTGTGGTTCAGAGAAATTTCGGGACTGAGTCCTTACCCTGTCCTATGTCCTTGCTACTGGCTATTCCCTACTACTGCTTGCTAAGCCTACCGTTCTGGGCCTATCCCTACTTCTGTCATGCTTGCACTGCCGTCCTTCAACCTGGTTTGCGTGGCGTAATCAAGATCTTACCTCGGCGCGTTTTGCTCGGCGGGGTTTAGGGTCGGCGCGTTTTGCAGAGACGGGGCGCTGGTCGTGTATCACGGCCCATCATCCGCGTCGACTTTTCCCGTCGATCTCTACCGCGCGTCGCCCCCCATCAATCGCGTCGCGCTCAACCAACTGCATCGCGCTCCATCCTCCGCGCCGACTTCCATCCTTCGCGTCAGTCGGCTTCCATCTCGGCGCCTCCTCTCACCGGCGTCGACGTGCCCGCTTCATCGCGGGGCACGACACCACAACCGTCCCGCTGCCACGCACGCACACTCCCCAGGTGCGTGTGTCGTTGCAGAACCTGCCCCGCGCTGTGGCCGCATCTCCATTCGTTGCATTTTTGTCGTCGCCGTCCGCCTCGTCGCCTTTCAAGTATCATGGTTCGCGCTGAGGACATCTACGTCGAGGAGGGCGGGCCTGAGACCTCAAGGCTGCCGACATCGTCGTCTATGCAAGCAGAGCACATCGGTCTCGCGTCCGATCAGCTCGCGGTAGCCCAAACTGCCTCTCCGCGGTCCAATCGCGACTCGGCGCTGCCGTGGCGGAATGTGATCAAGCGCAGCAATCCTTCGTAGCTGCGGAACAGCAACGCGGCGTAGCTTTCGCCGAGCGCGACCGCGCGCGTCAAGCCCTGGTGGTCGTCGATCAAGCGCGCGACGCTCCCAGCGTTGCGAGGGACCAAGTGCGTCAAGCTTCGGCTCTCCAAAGAGGAGTGCAACACCTCCGTCACCGAGAGAGACCAGGTCCGTCGCGCTCGTGCGGCGATGCACTACGCTTGTTGAGCATCTCACCCTTGTTCGTAATGCGCTCACGCAGAGCCGTGCGGAAGCCGAGTCGGCGCAGCGTTTAAAGAGCCGCTCTAAGTAGACCTACGGCGCAATAACGGGCTCCTTGTGACCTATGTAGAAGAACTCCGGCGGGGCGCGACGCGTATCCGCGACTTGGAGGAATCGGCGAGTTTCAGGCCACGTCTCGCGCGGCGCAATATCGCTCGGCGCGGCTGGGAATACGTTGCGTGTGGGGGTAGCGGCGAGAGGCTGCGAACGCTTAAGTCCACCGTCCCAGCGCTCACGTAATCGAGCTGGAAGACGAGCGCGACGTGGCCATCCAGGACCGCGACGAGCATGTCGCGGTTTGAGGACGGGTGCTTCGGGAAGCGCGTCGAGGTTGGTAGATGGCGTAGCACGTGCGCAATGGCTTTCCAGAACGTCTTGCCGGTGTCGTCACGTCCTTAGGCGGGTACATCGACATCTACGATCTGATCAGTCGACTTGAAGCATCCGTCGCGGTGGAGATGAACACTGTGGCCTGTGGAGTCAAGCCGAGCGGCGGCTCCCGCTGCTTGTGTCTCGCCTCCACTACGTCGAGTACGGGTGCCAGCGTTCGTCCTGCCGCCACCGTTTTCGGTCCTGAGGCTAATACCTCGTTATTCGCGGGTACTCATCGGGTTCCGACGCACCATCCAAGTCCGACGCTTCGTCCAGGTCCGGCATCTACTCCACCGCCAACAGTCCGACGACCTCGGTACAGCGGAGCCGGAGAATCAACGCGTCAAGCGTGCAGGCCCCCAGTTCGGTCTCGACTCCATCGTCTTCGCCTTCGTCTCGGCGGCACAGTCGGCGACCTGACAGCGGCCGACACGACCGCTTCGGACAGCGCAGCCGTCCAAGGCTTGCAGTCGCGTCGCATTCGGCTGCTGCTGTCGATCGAGCGGGTCAAGTCACAGCGCAGTTCAAGTCCAAGGCCTCGGACAGCGACGCCCAAGCGTGCCGCCCTCAGACCAAGCGTCCCCTCGTTGTAGCCGTAACTCCAACACGTGGTTCTTGTTCTTTTCCTTCGTTTCTTCCCCCTTCTTCACATCTTTTAAGAGACGGCCCTCCACCGTCCCATCTTCAGCAACAGGCTGATCCTCCACACTTCCCTCATCCAACCCCTCGCTCCGGCCATTCCCAGAGTCGAGGATTTCCACCTATCCACCTGTCGGCAGCCACCCTGCCAACCTCCACCGCACCACTAAAGGCGCTCATCCACCAGGGCTCTGCTCAGCCGCCTCTCGTCGTCGCGCGAATAGATCGCCCCAAGACGATAACGGCCGATTCGCTGACGTGAGACGTCGCATCGCCACTTTCCGCAGTTGGCATCTAATTCGTCGGTAAAGCCTCTCCAGGTCACGTCGGACTCGCGGCGCGCGCATCCATGTCGGGAAGCTCGGCCGGCATGCAGCTCCAAGGTCTTCTCCCCTTCGGATGCATCCTCGTCCGCTGCGCGTGTCGGGCTGTGCTCCGGTAAACACGTATCGACTAAGTAAAACGGTCCGTTTGTTGACACCGCCAAAGACAGTGCGGCGTGTGACGGAAACTTCTCAACGGGGTTTCGCTTGGAGATGCGGACGTCGAAAGCCAGCGGGTGAAGCGAGCTACTCGTCTCGCGAAGCGACTCGTTTGGGCTGCCCTGGGCTTTGCCGCACAACATGACGCACCGCATCTGCGCACGCGGTCCGATCTGTAGCGCCCATTGCTTGGGCTCGGCGCACTGATCCGGCCGTTTTCCGACGGCGATTATCGCCCTTGATGTATACCGCGGATCTCGGTCGCGCGCGAGCCGAAACGAGGGCGCCAGGTCCATCACGACGCCAACCGTCTTGGCGTGCTTTTCCCTGAACTTCGACTACGCAACGCCGTCGCTCTTCACAGCGCTAGCGTCCCGGCTCACTTCTAGCGGCATCTCGTCGCACTTCACCGCGCATACGTCCCTGTTCACTTTCAGCGGCACCTCGTCGCGGAAGTCGGAGGGCTCGTTCAACGGAGTCGTCCCATTGATCGTAGCGCGGACAGGATTCAGCTTGGATACGTCCTTGGCCGAATACGGACGAGGCGTACCGCCCGTCTCAAGACGTACGGCGTATGTGCTCACCAACGTGGCGCCCCGCGATACAGCGTCGAGCCTGAGCTCTAGCCCGCGGGCAGATCGCATTCCGCCGCGTTCCAAGCAATACCACATCAACGAATTCACTCCGGCCGTGTTCGTCGCCGCGACGTCGCCTCGGGTCCGATCTCCGTCGTCCCCGGCTTGGCCGCCTTCTAGTGCGTTCACCTGCGCGAGTCGGCGGCGCTGTCGAACGCATAGCCCTAGGCGCTTTGACTGGGCACCGTCGCGTGACGTGTTTCTCGTTGCGACCCACACGCCACCCAAAACTTTGACTGCACAACCAGATCCGACGCAAGACGCGTCTTCGTCCAGCGCACCGCGCCCCGTAAAATGCCCCGGGCCATGACTCTCTGCGCCTTTAGCCGCTTTGGGAGGGGTCTTGGCCAGGCTCGACGGGTTCTGAGCAGCCGGCTCTTGTAGGACACCTGGAGCTCTGCCTCTGCGGTTCGTCGCGCGTGTAGACGCCGAGTGCATCGTCACCGCGAGGATGTTTGCCGTCCCGCGCCCCAAATCCATGTTCTCCGGCGTCGGCGGGTCTCGTTCCGGCACGTGGGCGACAGGGTTGGCCTCGTCGCAGTTTCTCTGGTCGCGATTTTTCGCGTCGCGTTTCGCGTCGAGATTTTCCACGTCGAGTTTTTCCGCGTCGCATTCTTCCGCGATGAGTATGTCAGGTGACGCCGTTTCTTGATCTAACGTCCGGTGTCGGATGCCTTCTCCCGAGCGATCCGCCGGCGGTATGACCACCACTTGCGCCTTTGCTGCGTTGGCATCACCGTCGCTCGTCCCGCGTCTCGCGTCGGCGCGACTGTCCGTCGTGCAACGTGGATCTGACATCCTCGTCGCGCTTGGGCTCGACGCGTTCTGCATGCAGTAAACTGGATGGCCTCCACCTGAGTCTTCACCGAGTCGGCACCGTCCATCGCCCTGCGCATCGCGCCAGCGCAACCGGCCATCGCGGAGCGTTGACCACGTTCCCCGGTGACCTCTCGGTGGTGCATCGTCTCCGCGCACCGGGTCTGGGACGAGTTATTCGTCGCGCTGTCTTCTTGATCTCGTCGTACGCTTCCAACAACTGCGTCGGGCCCCGTGTTCCCGCCTCAACGTACGCCGTAATGCGGTTGCACTTGTAGTGCGTCACAGATTCGAAGTCGGTGTAGCTGCAGGCTGCGCGGCTCGTCGCCCGCCTTGCCCGCCATCTTCAGGACCGTCGACTTCTTGAATTCGCTGGACATCCGTCGAGGGACAGCTGGTACCTTCGCCAGCAATCCTCCAGGTGGCGCGCCGTGGCATTCGAGCTTGTCAGCCGGAAATCGCACCACTTGCCCCGCCGCAGCGTACCAGCCACTTCGGTAGATCACCAGCATCTCGCTCTGGGTTGACCAATCGATCGAGGGTTGTGGCGCGGTGCCCCCCTTTCGGCGCAGGCCTCGGTGGTCATCCACTCCCGCCACCGTCAGGCTCCTCGTCGACCACGTCGAAGTTCACATTCGGCTTGTTCTTCACGGGCTCGAGGGCGGAATGTCTCCAAAGACGCCATTTTCCAGCTTTCTCCGCAGGTCGCATACTGTCGCAGCTCTGAGACTTCGCTACTGACTGTCGCATAGTATCGTATTCGGTCAGTCTCTCCCCGCGACCCCTCCCTCGACTGTCGCACGGTGTAACATTCGGTCCGTATCACGGTGTCGCACTTCTGGGACTGCTCCTGGGATGGTTCTGGGACGTTCCATTCCTCCCGTCTCACACTGTCGCACTTCTGCGACTCATCGCCACCGAATTTCTCAAGGTGCGGCCCTTCGTCCGGCTGTCGCATCTCGTCACATTGCCGCGATCTACCATAGAATTGCAAGCTTTGGGCCGCGTCGCCCGACGAATCTTCGGCGGGTTGTTCGGTTCCAGGCGCTTCAGCTGGGCGTCCCGCAAAGTCGCTTCTCTGCGACCCTTGGTCCGGCCGTACGCACGTCGTCCTCACGACGGCTATTTCCATCGTTATCTCGCGCAACCGCGTCGAGGGGCCGTACTTCGGCGACTTGCTGTCCGGCGACGCCTCAGATTCAGACGAACATGTCGGTCCTGCTGGCGGTGAGTTCGCGGCAGCTCCTGGGTACGATCTCGGCTCACTACCCGCACAATATTTCTCCTTTTGCTCACCTCGACGCGCGTCGTATCCCAAATCTTCGTATGTCGGACATCCATACATTGGCCAGACGAGTTCGTCATCCCGCCAGGTTTCGTCCTCGTCCCAGGTCCCTTCTTACGCCAGGCTTTGCCAATCTCGGTAATGTCGATTAGCCGCCAGTACGAAGCGGGGCGCAGGCGGAAACGCATCGAAGGGTGTCCACCAGCCCACTGTCATGCCTGCGTCGAGCGTTACTGTCTCGTCCGTTATGTTGGTCACCCGCAGGTATGTTTGTCGCTCGATCTTAGTCTTAAACATGGTTGTAACCCACGTTTTGCTGCGCGTGACCCACAGGCGCGGTGCATCCCGGCTGGAACGCAGGCGGACGTCGAGTGTTCGCCCTGGGTCGAGTTGCTTGAGCGCGTCGAGTGAGACAGGTCGCACTCGTGCGTCGTAACGCGAGTGCGGGAGCCGTCGAGGCCCAGAACCGTGATACGCACTAACGCGACCTCACGGGGCGTAGCGCGCGGCGGCTCACTCAGATGGATAGAAACCTCGTCCAGTTCCGGTGACGTCGTGGTTGAGATCGCGGCCGTGGTTATCGGCATCCCAAAGTCCACGTCAAACAAGTCGGCGGGTTCGTCATCTACGTCACGTCGGGGTTTGGACCTCGACGTGAAATGCACGCTCGACTCAGACTGGGACGAAGTTATCTTCTGCGTCGAGATTGGGCCCGTCCCAGGCGGAGTCAACTTGCGTTGGATGGATCCGACCAGGACCGTCAACGGTCCCAAGACGCCGCGGATCGTACGTGTCCACGACTCGAGGTCCCAGTCATACACTCCCGCCCTCTCGGTGTACCCAAGCTGAAGCCTGATTCGTGCAACATCTCGAAGAGTGTCCACGCGGCTCGCGTGACGTTCGTGAGCCTGTCAAAGTCCGGCATCCGGAAGGGGTCCGTGAACTTGATCGCGTTGGGCTTGATGAAACGCAGGATCGGATCGTGCTCCAGCAGCCGGATCAGCTCCACTCCAGCAAGCATATACCTCATCTCCGCCGTGGTGAACTGACTCCCCGTGTCGTCGCCTCTCGCCTTGACCGGCGGTTCATCCGCTGAATCCGGCGCGCAGAGCTTCTCCGGAGACTTGTGTTTGCGCGACTCGAAGCTGCTGTTGAAGTCCACGCTCGATTGGTATCGAGGTGGAGGCGAGGGCGTGGTCGTCGAAGTCTGGGCTGAGCCCGTCGAGAAACTCAGCGCGTCTTGTTTGACGGATCCGGCGAGAATCGTCAAGGGCTCCTGAACGACGCGAATCGCGCGCAACGAAGACTTGAGGTCCCAGTCGCACAGCCTCTCCATATCAAAAGCCCCCAACATGAATCCCGAGTCACAAAGCATATGGAAGAGAGTCGGCGCGGCGTGGGCGACGCTGGTGAGACTATCGAAGTCCGGCGCCACGAAGGGGCCTGTGAAGTTGCTCATCATCGTGGGCTTGAGGAAGTCCAAGATTGGGTCTTGCTCTAGCAGGCGGAAGAGCTCCGTACGCGCCACGACGTACCGCACTTCCTCGACGGTGTACTGGCGTCCCGAGTCCTTGCCTTGCGGCTTGGATAGCGACTCATCCGCCGAGTCCGGCGCGCGCAGCTTCTTCTTCCTCCTCTTAGGCGACTTGCGCGTGGTTGCGGCCTTGGCGGTGGTTTGTTGTTGGTCGTTGACCTTTGCAGGCTTCCGACCAGTTGGACCGCGACTTGCGTCGCGGCCCTTCGCGGCTCCCTCGTCGGGAGCCACATCGGGAACGGCAAACTGTTCTTCGTAGCCCTCCTGGTCGTCGCTGGCCCCATGACCTGTCGTGAAGGTTCCCTCAGAGCTCCACGACACGACAGGTCTCTCACTGTGCTCTCTTGCAGTCGGCGACCTTCCGGCCGACGGCGCACCTGCCTCCGATGCCTCTTGGATCGTTAGCTCGTCATTTCAAGTAGTAATCCCGGGCGCGGCACCGTTGTGGAGAAGCGCCCTCGCAGAAATCTCGCGAATGCGATTTCGCACAAACTCGGCGCGTCTGGATAGCGGTCGGGCCGAGCGAATTATTCCCGGTTGTTGGAGTAGCGTATCTTCGAAATACAGGCCCAAGTCTTCACAGGCTTCAGAGTTGGGGGGTTCTTGTGTTGACGCTTGTTCCTTGTCGTAGGGCGTCGAGCCTCGGGCGTGCGGCGTTATCGGGTCGGCGTTTCCTCGGCGTTCCCGTCGGGCGTGCGGCGTTATCAGGCCGGCGTTTCCTGGGGCTTGTGTGGCGTTATCGGGCCTACACAGGGGGGCCTTGTGCACGGCGGTTATCAGGCCAGTGCGGTCCTTCGCCTAGGCAGCGCGTTATCGGGCGCCCACCTAAACGGTATACGTTTAACGTGCCTTTGTTCCAGCACGGGTCTGTGGGGGGTGAGCACCCGAACCAGCAAACGACGGGGGGGCGCGATATCGAGGCGGCTCTACTTGCCGGCGCTTGGTGGTTCCTCTGGAACCTCGGAGAAGACGGGAGGTCTTTGTGGTTCAGAGAAATTTCGGGACTGAGTCCTTACCCTGTCCTATGTCCTTGCTACTGGCTATTCCCTACTACTGCTTGCTAAGCCTACCGTTCTGGGCCTATCCCTACTTCTGTCATGCTTGCACTGCCGTCCTTCAACCTGGTTTGCGTGGCGTAATCAAGATCTTACCTCGGCGCGTTTTGCTCGGCGGGGTTTAGGGTCGGCGCGTTTTGCAGAGACGGGGCGCTGGTCGTGTATCACGGCCCATCATCCGCGTCGACTTTTCCCGTCGATCTCTGCCGCGCGTCGGCCCCCATCAATCGCGTCGCGTTCAACCAACTGCATCGCGCTCCATCCTCCGCGCCGACTTCCATCCTTCGCGTCAGTCGGCTTCCATCTCGGCGCCTCCTCTCACCGGCGTCGACGTGCCCGCTTCATCGCGGGGCACGACACCACATACGCCCAGGTTTTCACGTCTTCGTACTCAAAATTGGCTCCGATCTTATTTTTTTATTTATTTGTCCCGTCTCTGACACTTGGGAGCAGTACAACTGAATTACCCATATACGAAAACCTATATGTCCAGATTTTTAGGTTCCGAAGCCGTAAACTAGAGCGGTTAAAAATCCCTGGTACACCGACTTCTTTGAATTTATATTTATTATCATAGCTTATTTATTAAGTGTTCGAGTTTATAAATTATTTGAAAAAAGTCGCCGATTTTACATCCATTTAGTAACATGTCACTAATTCGAGGTACCCAAACTTATTCTATGGTTTACGTAAATTAAGCTAAATTGGGGCGCAAAAAGGACCCTGGATGAATGATTCTTAGACGGAAATTGTCGGACAATTGGCAGACAGAGCAAATCGTGATTTGTTTAGAGAATCTTACGGTAATGTGGTTGTGGTGTGTACTTGAACAGCACGAAGAGAGCATGGGGAGACTTGCCAATGCGTGTATCGTAAGCTGGCTTGATATCTATTTGAAAAGGCGGAACTCACACTAATCTAAATTGTTTTGTGGTTTTTCCGCATCAGTTTGGCTACGGTGGCCCAGCTCAACTGGCCGCACCGACGTTTTCGCGAGTGTGCGGTTTCTCGGTCCACTGCAACGCTCTCAGCACAGTCGAGGTATACTTGCGCTCGATGTGCGTCATCAGGTACCTAAGCTCGCTCAGTCGCTTTTGAAGCTTGCGGTCTGGCATATCACGTCCGTCGAGCAAGCGCAGCGGCGGCTCTTGCTTGGACTTATTGCCGCATCTCCACAGCACCCAGATATGATGAACAGAGCAGTCAGGTATCTTGAAATCTTCGGCTACGCGACAAAACTTCCCACCCCAAAAATGCGCAGGCGTGCGCTCGAAGTCGTTGTCGAGCTGCTCTGTGAGGTGCTCTGGAGGTGCTGCCAGCTTCTGCAGAAGCTCGTCAACGGCGCAATCTTTAACACACGCCGTTATAGCTTCATTGAGTTCATCGTAGGTTACAGTTCCCGCACCAATCGCTCGTTTTCAAGCTCAGCAATAATATCCTTCGCTGTATCCACCCGTGTCGCTTCAATTTTGGTGAGGGCACCGACCAAGTTTTCCTTCAGCCACTTCATCTCGCACAAAATGGACACGTGTGGCGACACGCCAGTTGAACAAATGCGAGCTTCGGAGCTCCCGTCACCTGACTGCACTCGCTCGGCAAGAGATGACAGCAGGGCTGGATCTTGAAATAGTGGCGTTTCGAGAACGGGATGCTTCGGTGATATTGCACGTACCAAGTATGCGTGATGGTAAGTCAGCGAGGCTAAGCAATACTCAGCGATTAACTTTAACCCTTCGGGTAGTCCAGGGAACATAAAGCGGACACCTTGCTGAACACCTTCGTCATCCACATTGAAGTGGGGCGGAAGTGTTGAGAACTTGTAGCTTTCCGTAGGCAGCCCAGCCACTGCCCGACCAACGTGCATTTCACCCGCAGCTTCGTAGCGTAGATAGGTGTTTTGGACGCCGCCAAGCGACCAACCAGCTCTCAAATGCACGTCATAGCAGTGCCTCAGACCGCTCACGTTCCAGACGGGCAGCCTCCGCACGCAGCTCGACACTGCTCATCGGGGGCTTCCGAATCTCGCCTTTAGCTGGAATCAGCGACTCGGCGATCTTGTCCAAAAGCTCACGTGGTGTGATACCCGCGCCCATGATAGCGGCTAGTCCGTCTTCGTCCCTTTGCACCTTCCGGATCTCCAAATTCCAATGAGACAACGCAAGTCCCAAAGGAACACATCTTCCGTCTGCCGATTTCGAGTTGATGACCCACTTGAGAACGGAATATCGCGTGTAGACAATTATCGGGCAGTGCTCGACGATCGTTCGGAACACTTGAAATACTCTCAAAATCACGATGACCTCCTTCTCAGCAATGTGGTATCTCAGCTCAGCACAGTTCAGAACTCGGCCTATGTATCGGACAGGCTGGATGAGCCCATCGTACTTTTGACCCAAAACTGCGCAAGCAGCCCATTGATTCGCGTGCGGAATGATGATGAATGGTCGTTTTCGGTCCGGATGCCTTAGCAGCGGAGTCGACACAATCTTCCTCTTGAGGATCTCGAAAGCTTCCTTGGCTCCAGCTAGACTCCGGCCGTAGCGGGCTTGTTCGTCCGAATGCTCGTACTGAACCGCGGCAACGACTGGAAAAGCTTCGATGAACTTGTGTAATAGTTCAAACTGCCAAGGAAAGACTGGATCTCCATCAGAGTGTTCGGAAACGGCAAGTCCAAAACTTCTTTCGCAATCTTTGGGATTGGAATCCCTTCTGCACTAATTTCGTGAGAGAGGTACGGGATCGAGCGATTCCCAAATTCGTTTTTCGGAAGGCTCACGGAGATGTTCCAGTATCGGAGTCGAAACAGCAAAGCATTTAAATCTTCACACAGCTGGTCCCAGGTCGTCGCTCCATGAGCAATGTCATCAATGTAGGAACTGCGTCCCAGGACAGGACCCATCTGAGGCGGAGCTGGAATATTCCGCTTGAAGATAGTCATCCCTTCAGTCAACACCGGCATACCTCGTTCCGAGTTGGAGTGCTCAGTTTCCGAACGGACCATGGGATCCAGACCGAGATAGTCGAGAACATCTTGATCCACTTCTGCTTCTTCTTCTTCTTCTGGCGACAACCGAAGGAAACCCCACAGACAGGTTTTTATTACTGCCTGGTAGATGAGCGGAGCGTTCTTCAGTCCAAATGGCATGCGGATCCATTGGAAGTGTCCGTACGGGCAGATGAAAGCGGAGATCAGCTTCGCTCTTTCCGACATCCGGATAGCCAGATCCACTAGCCATGTCATGACTCATGAACCACATTGCCCTCTCGAAACCGATCAGCAGGTCGTCGATCAGCGGAAGCGGATAGTTCAACAACTGGATAAATCCATTCACAATCCGGTAGTCAATACACATTCGGATTTCAACTCCATTCTTCTTCAGAACAATGACGATCGGAGAATCCCAAGGAGAATGAGAGGTCTCAATCAAACCAGTTTCCAGGAGCTTCTTCAACAACTCGTACACCTTGATCGCAAGGTGAGGTGCAATCGAGCGAGGTCGCTGAGCAACGGGCTTGGCGTCCCACACATCCAAATCACAAATCACACCACGAGCTGAAGCTGGCGCTACATTTCCGTCTCCAAGGAAGATCTTCCGATGACACTTCAGAACTGACCGTAGTTTCCGTTCCTCTTCTGGAGAGGTCACATCCGGGTCACCAAAGTCAACCGTCCCGATATCGCACTCTGGATTCAGATCACGCACTTCCGGGACCATGGTCAACTGGTCCCGCAGTTGAGCCAGAAGATCACTGCCCTCATGGATATAGACAGCAGGCTCATAATCCAATTCCTCTGCGTTCATCCTCATCACACGATCATACTCCATCTTGAGTTTCTGAACTTGACTACTCGGCATTGCTTGAGTCGGCAAATCCAGATCTTCTTCCTCAACGGGCTTCGACTCCTGGATGTCTGCGTCGGCCGATAGACCTTCCTCCGGATAATTCTCATCGAAACTGATCGCATCGAAAAACTCGTCCTCATCCGAGGCTGAATGTTCGGGCGGAAATTCTTCGTCTTCATTCAAGACCTCGAACCTGGGCACGTCATCGTGAGAGCTAGCCGTGCCATCCACTTCCAAGGGTGCATCTTCTGGGACTTCATGCTCGGGACTATTCATGACGAATGTCGCACGGTGAGGTTGTTCCTGCACCTGGACTTGATACACTGTTTAAGCTCCAAATGACAGCTCCTTCTTCAACATTAACCGAGTTGGCCACCGGTATTCGGACTTCGAAACACATGGAGGGGCAGCATCTCTCAGCATCTGATTGTACCGTTCCTTTCGCAACGGGCCTGTTCCGACTTCGTGTTCTCGTAGATCAGGGTTTGCCATTCTCGGTATCTCCTCAATCCAGGTCGAACAAAATGTCCAGACTTCGGGAAGAATCCGAACTCAATGATCCGAGCGACCGGTGTCCTGGAATCTATCCACCGATTCTGATCCGAAATGTTGACCACTTTCACAGCGATTGGCCAGGACCGAAGGGTGTAGATGATCTCGGTCACCCAGCGATGGCCTCGACCAGCCCAGACCACTTCGCGTTGCGGGTTACTCTGGCCGTAACGAATCCGGACGATCGCATGTTCGCCGGGGCCTAAGTAGAGCGTCTACGTGGGCGTGACTGGAATGTCGAGTCCTTGCCGTTTCGGAACCAAACCATATTCGGACAACACCACTGGTTCTTCATCCGGAAGTTGTACCAGGCCTTCTCGAACACACAAGCGCACACCGACTGAATAACTTCAGTGCGTGCAGTGATGATCGTCGGAACTCCACCCAATCCAGAGACCCGGAGCTGTTTACAGAACTTCAGCTTGAGCTTGAGCCTACGCGCAAGGTCCAAACTCACCATGTTTACTGATGCTCCAGAGCCCAAAAAGATTAGATGTCCTCCGATTGTTCACCGCACCGTCTACCATTGCCACCTTCTTGACTTCGTCCGGTTCGTTACCTGCCCACCATCCATATCGCTCGCCTGGCTCCAGTCGAAATTCAACCAGATCACTTGGGTCGCGAGCTTCAGAAAGTGAGCGTTCCGAATCCGGGTGAGGTTGATCCAAACGAGTCATCAGAAGAGGAGACGTCGTTTTGAATCTCAGTCATGCATTGATGGTTAGTTTGGGTTTGACGTCTGAGTTCCAGTCCAACATACGCTAAGACACACAATTCTGGGGGGTCCTTGAGCCCTACGCGTTCTGAATCCCTATTCAGCAGGCATTTTAGTTTAACTGCTGTTCCCCAGAATTGGCGTCTCCATCCAAAAGTTGATCTCTGACTGGAGTCGGCGGGTCTTTGGTGGAGCCTTGACGAACCAGAGTCTGAACGGTTTGAAATGCCTTCCGGGTATCACACTTGTCTTCGTGAAACTTGTTGCAGAAGATGCGGGGTTGAGTCTTGCAGATTCGGGTTGGATGTCCAAAACGACGGCAGCGTTCACACTGAATCTCGGCCCAGCAACTATCCGCGGTGTGTCCGAAGTCTTTGCAGTTCTCACAGAACTTGTTCGCGTTCGGGCTGCTAAATCGAGTTCTCATGTCCGGTTTGAAGTCTGGAGTTGGCGGCCTTCATCCAGCATGCTCCATCACTCGAAACACTGCATCAGAAAATCCTTGCTTCCAGGCTCCATCCGGTTCGATCCCTGCTCCGGTTGTAGCAATCCCAGCGGATCAGTTTCTAGACATCGAGCTTCCAGTGGACACGCTTCCAGTTGAGGCAGCAGTCGCTAGCGTCCCTGATTTGGTCGGAATGTCTTCGACGGCATCATGGAAACGCACTTGTTTGTCATCATCACTCGACTCATCTTCGTTCTGCACGACGAATGCTCTTCCCCTCCGCTTCGGGTGGAAATGTCCATGCGAAACATTGTCGGCTCGGAAATCTCGCTTCACGGGCGGAGTGTCGTAGTCATCGTCCTGAGCCATGTCCTCGTGTTGTTTCAGCACATACTTCACATCCTTCAGGCTCCGAATCCGCTGGCCTTGGAGGGTCGATCGCAGTCTGGTGTCCAAAAGCTTCTTCATAAACACATTCAGATGGCGTTCTCGAGCCTTGCGCGACGACTTGAAGTCCAGACCAGCCTCCTCAGCGACCTTGTTCAACCGGTAGTAGAACTCGAGAGGCGTCTCGGATTTCTTCTGAATCATCGTGTAATACCGCTCCGAGTCTGAAGTCTTGGCCTTGCAGTACCTCTCGCGCAATGCCTTCAGAAACCGTTTCCAGTCCCTACGCACCTTCAGCTCCAAGTTTGTTTCCCAGTTCCAAACAGGCGCAGGCATCTTGAGTTTCATCTCGTACGCCTTCACTTGATCTGTCCATCCGCCCTGGGTAGTCATACTTTGGAACCGCTCCAGCCACCGAATCCTGGTCGCCAACGAGGCCTTCGGATCAAAGTCCTCCAGCGTGTTCGAATTCACAAACGGCTTGAACGTGTACACCGTAGTGCCTCCTTCTGCAGTCTTCGTAGTCACTCCAGGCGTCGTGTCCCCAAACGAGCTGCTGTCCGACCTGTTGCTTGAGTCCGATTCAGAGCTAGAGTCCGAGCTCGGGCCGGAGTCCGACGGATTACCATGACGACGAGACTTGCCAGACTTCCTCTTGCGCAACGACTCACGCCTGCGCGGCTCGGGCGACTTGGACGTTCCAGACGATGGCCATCCAGACACTCTACTTGACGTCGATCGGGTCGGCGCAGGGGACTTCGACTCGAGCACGGGTTCCGCCTTCACCTCCTAGACAACCACCTTCGGAGCTTGTGCCGCACGGGGCTTCAATAAGCTCACCGCTTTAGCCGCGTTCAACGTCTCCTGCAATTTGGACGCCAGGAATTCGTCGGTGTTCTTCATGTCCTGTCCCATACGCCCCGCGCTTGTACGCTCGTTGATTACGCCACTGGATTCTCGACTGGGTTTCCGGTCTGAAGTTACTCGATCGGACTGTCTGTATCCTTGAGTTGCCGGATTAGACTGGATTTTTCCCGCAGATCCTTGATCTTGGGCCGATGTCGTCAGAAGATTGCGCAATTGTCCCACGAGATACTTCTGAAGGTTCTTGACCGTTGCTTCCAGAGTCTCCGCCTCGCGGCGAGTCCGACTGTCGTCATGGGGACTCGGGACGACACCTTTCATCGGTCGAGCTTCCGAAAGCTGTTCCTGAACCATCCGTCCAAGTTCCGCCTTTAGCGCCAGTCCAAGCTTCTCGAGTGTCGAGCCCTGAGTGTTCTCCATGCGAGACACCGCGTCCTGCACCTGCCTCATTGTGTTCAAGGCAATCTGCGTGGCACCCGATGGCCCCGATCCGATTAAAGGCTCCGACCGAAGCGACCGAACAGATCGACCCGAGCGTCCGGACAGAGAGCGTCGGTCCGACCTTCTCGAGTATCGAATTCTGGAAATCCGATGGTGACTGCGATCGTCCTCGCTATCAGAACTTACGGACGAAAGACTTCGATGGTGGCCATGTCGACGCGAGTGGCTTCCAGACTTTGTTCTCCGCTTCCGAACATCAGTTGACCCAGACTCCGACATAACGACAACTTACAAAGTAAAACTTTACTAGTGGTTCAGCGTAAAATGTTACGATTCGCAAGTAAACTACTACGGCGTACACGAATTAAAATATAACGAGCAGCCGTACAAAATAAAATGTTACGACTCGGACAAAGTAAAATATTACGACTCGTTCAAAAAAAATGTTGCGACTCTTAAGTAAAATGTAACGACTCTTACAATGTAAAATATTACGACTCGTTCAAAGTAAAGTTTTGCGACTCTTACACTGTAAAATATTACGACTCGTTCAAAGTAAACTATTACGAGTCGCACAAAGTAACATATTACGACTCGGACAAAGACACACATCGAATCATAATCACCTACGCTAGTATAAGCCATAACCAACAATTTGTACAGAAGCAGAAACCTCTGCGGACATATATTTTTTTAATACCCAAAACAACTCTTTAGGCAACGCCCATACACATCTACAATCGTAGGGTGACGCGGCACAACGGACACTGAGCCTCCTCTTCCATCTCCAACGCATGCCCCACGTGCATGGAAGTGCACTCACTGCACATGGCATGGCGGCACGAGAAGGGGATTACCGGGGCTGTAGGGGGATCCAGGCAAATCGGGCATGGAGAGACTTCTATCGGGATGCTGTTGTCTTCCTCGTCACCAGTGATGTCGATTATTTCGTGCTGTCGTCGGACTTGTGACGCACCGGCAACAGAAGCGGTCCTTGCCGAATTGACGCACTCTCGGTTGACGTAGAGGTAGACGTCGTCGAGATTGGAGAGGGGGCATGGCCTGGGACGTGGAGCTGGGAGGCCACAGCGGTGTTGGAAGCACATCAGCCAGACTACGAACACGAAGCGGGATAGCAGGGGAGGTGCCAATAACTCGCAACGCGAGAATGGCTATCGCTTCCCGCTTCTTCTGTGCGTACATTCGGTCGTATTCCTTCTTAGCTTGTTGTGCTGCCAGCACCCGCTGTCGCCGCAGCTCAGGGAACCGTCGCTCCAAACACGTCCTCCTGTCAGCGTGGGCCTTGATGCTGGTAGCAGCAAAGATTACCCCGCAAAGCGGGCAGGGCACTATTGGTGCAGGAGCAGCTATGATAAGCCGAGGGATGTGAAGGAAGCAGGCTTTTATTGCCATCACTTCCGAAACTGACGGCAACTACACAACTACCTACAATTGGTGCACGCAACATTTCAAGTACCTACGTCGATGACGACCGAGAAGAAGAGCGCTGGCGGTCTGGAGGCCTTCAACGGCAAACGGTTCGCTATGTGGAAGGATAAGCTGTAATCACCTCGATCAGTTGTACAAGCGCAAGCAACTCGAGAAGGCGCTGCCCCCTGTCCACGTTTTGATGATCGACTTCCTCCATGGAAGCCCGGAGAAGCCGCCATCAGTCCCGGGGGATAGTGACCTCACCGACAAGGAGAAGAAAATCATGGCTTAGAACGTGATGGACTGGGAAAGGGGTCGCGGAGACCTGCAAAACTTGCTAAATCAGGTCCTACCCAACTCGTATCTGTCAACTCTTTCAGACCTAGTGTCGAACCTAGACCCATGCGAGGTAATGAAGGCCCTCGAGAAAGACTATGGGCAGGGCGATGCGGCTGGTCTGCTTGAGTTGACCCGAGCCTGGTCAAGGTTGGCTCGGAGCCAGTGGCGCGATCTTCGCATCCTCTTCGTCCAGCTGAAGAAAGCGCGCAATGAAATCAACAGAAAGACGCAAGAGCTTCTGGGAGAGGACATGGTCACTGAATCGTGGCTATGTGGGGAGGTCCTGTCCCAGTTGCCGAAAGAGTTTTGGGCATCGTCCATCCCCATGAAAAAGAGCGACTTCACTGTCGAAAGGTGGAAAGCGCACTGAGGCGCATTTTCCAGGAAAAGTAAAAGAAGGAGATTTGTCATAACATGGACAGAAGTGCGTCCATCCCCATCAATAATGTGAGGACCAAACACGTTGAAAAACGCAAGCATGCGGACGAAAAAGAGGGACGGGCGTGTTTCTACTGTTTCAAAGGTGGCCACTTCAAGGCCGACTGTCCTGTTATGGCGTCCGACCGGAACCCGAACTGCGAAGGTGGGCCATTGTTCCGGACCGACACCAAAACGGCCCCCGGGGCGAAAAAGGCCAAGAACGCCGCAATTAACACGATGACGGCGGTCGTGACCGACGGCAAGAAGCGCCTCTTTGGAGAAGGCAAGACGGCACTCGAGAGGGCCCTGGAGGACCAAATTATGGACGACCTCAGAAGTCTGGATCCGGCCAATCAGGACAACAGCAAGTCGGCTGAGTCACCGTTGCCGCCAAATATGGACGAAGTTGAAGAGATAGTACGTAAATTTCATACGGATTCTTTACAGTATATAAACAACCTAAAGTAAACGGACGATATGTGGGTCGTGGATACAGGAGCAGGCAGAGCTATAACTTCAGACCGAAGCTGGTTTAACCCCTCTAACCCCGTATTCTGTATCCTACAGAATAAGCATTGTCACAGGACATAATATCCAGCAAACGTGTCCTCTCTTTCGATATCTCATATGACCGGAATTGTGGCATTAATTTACTAAGTGCATACTATTTGGCAAAGCAAGGGTACAGGCACTTTCTGTCAAAATCTGGAGATTTTCTCTTTTTCTTAGGAAAAGACTTCAAGCTACTGTTTGCAGCAGTGACCATATTACTTACCGAATGTAAAGCCAGGACGGGCATTTTTAGTGCCCAAAGCCGTAAGTTTGGTAATATTTTGAAAGAATGGCACTTGAGTCTCGGTCATGTTGGTAAGGAAAGGTTAATTCGAACATTAAGTAACGAGAAATTACTGGGCAGCCAAAAATACCTTACTCTGAACTGAAGAAGGTTCATTTCTTTTGTAAGACATGCGCCCAAATGAAAGATAGAAGGATGTCCTATAAGAACATGGTGGGAGCCAAGGCTACTGAGCCACTCCATACACTCAACTAGAAAATTACGGGTGAATGACTTATATGGCTCGTTTGGCTATCACTATGCCCTGTCCGTTGTAGATGACGCTACTGCTTATAAGTGGTACTTTGTGGTAAAATCCCTGAAAGAAGTTCCCAGCAAAAATCGTGACTTGATGGAGCATTTGTCAGTACAATTTCCTTTTAAGGTTAAGAGAATTAGAACCGACGGTGGTTCTGAATTTCTAAATTCAGAGGTGTCTAAATTGTGTTCTAAGCTTGATTTAGACTTTCAAAGTTCAAATGTAGAGTCAGAAGAAGAGAATGGGAGTGCAGAAAGAGCGCACCAGACGATGATGGCTGGTGTTCGCTGTGCACTGAAAGGGGCCAATATGCCGGCTAAGTGGTGGCCTGAAGCCTTAAACTATATTGTAGATATCACCAACCGCCTACGAATGACCAGACTGGGGATGAAGACCCCGTATGAATTACGGCATCATCAGCAGCCAAATGGCTTGGCACTCATAATGGGTACAACATGCTATGCACATGTACCCAAAATAAAGCGAACAGACCAAAAAAACTCGGTGATCGAGCAATCGAGTGTAAGCTTTTGGGGCTGACACCCAAATATAAAGGGTATCGGCTGCTAGACGTCAAGGCAAATAAGTACCTAATCTGTCGCGACGTTAAATTTAGCTCAACAAGTACACAGGCAATGATACAAAGGTCGTTCCCTACTGAGGACAGTAGCGTATATCTGGAAGAGGAAAAGATCATACAGAATTTAGGTAAGCGACCTAGAACAGAGGCTGATGTTGAAGCGACCACCGAAGTTGAAGCCTCAACGTCAGCATCTGAAACGCGACCACCGACATCCCACATAGTGGGAGCAGAAAATGGGGTTAGTGGTGACAGACGGAGGTCTAAGATAAAAAGAAAGTGTCACGAGGCGGCTTGAGGAAAATTTCCCTTTGCGCCAGTTCCCACTTTGTCCCGGAAAGCCTGCCCTTGATTGGTCCAGAACCTATCCTGATTTTGCGACAAGTGCAAGCTGGGACGCGGTGGCAGAAGAAGATTGACAGTCATTGTCTGGATCCAGATTGGGCACTCCGGACAATTGAGCTGCTACGAGTGATGAAGCGCTGCGAAGGACGAATACCGAATTCCTCGATGAGCTGTACCCCCGTGGTATATCACCAAAGGGGGCCAGCTCATCGAGGAAATCCATTGAGACCCAACCACTTCTCATTGGTCTAAAATATTCAAAATCGTTGGGGGCCGCACGCTGCACGCCACTCCAAGAAAGTCATGGGGAGAAGGTACCTAAGCGCCAAGGACAAGTTGCTCATCGTGCTGGAGGCTAAGGCTGGCCAAGTAAAGCCTGTTGCGCGCAAATATGGTGTGCAAGCAGCCCATATTCAGGACGCTGAGTTAGAAGTGGAGCTGGCTGCGTGGATAATTGAGCGGTGATCCCACGAGCTAGCTGTGTCTACAAACCAGGTGATAGCGAAGGACCTTACAATCAATCCAAGTTTTCGAGGTGGCAGCCGAAAGGCTATGTGGAAGTGGGTGTATCGGTTCTTACAAGCTGTCCTCTGCCTCAAAAGTCGACGGGGCAAAAAGCCTACGTGGCATAATTGAGCTCCCAAACGGATTACATACGCCTTCACAGCACACTCGACGTCTCCGTTATCTGCCATGACTGCCACCCCTCTAAAGACGATGACATCATCGATCTTTAGATGCTTGCCACAGACATCGTGTACTGTGCAGCTCCTCCCCGCGTCTCCTGCAACACACCCGACAATATCTACTCCAGTGATTGTAGCGCTGGACTTCCCTCCTGTTCGATCCAAAGACGTCAGTAATTGTACAGAGCAACACGTTCAACCGCACTTACCATTAGCGGTTCTTCGTCGACTGGGGGATTGGCAATTCAGAGCCAAGCGAGCTCATTGGCTAATATTATGCCTGGGGATACAGCTCATCGAGGAAGTCCCCTTGAAAGCTGTCCATCACTTAGTATAACAAACCCGGTTGGGGATACAGCTTTTCGAGGAAAAAATGGGGGTACAGCTCATCGAGGAATTCGGTAGTTGGCATGCGCCAGAGTGATCATGTGTGTCATGGATGCCCCCGAAGGCATGTGTGTGGTTGCTGTTGCCGACCGAGCGTGTATCGAGGTCAAGCGACGACGCAGAGGCGCCGGGATGAGCAGTGTTTAGGATGGATGGATGGAATTCTGGATTTGGATCGAGATGGAGAGCTGGTTTGGATCCGGATGGGTCCTTGAATGTGCGAGGGGAAAATCCAGTGGTCACCCATCAAGAAAGGTTCCAAACTCCAAGTATAGTCTGGCCAAGATGTTAACGACCGACCAACGCGACCGACTAAGATCTGTTTTGCACGAGGGGTCGCCTGATTCCTTGCGTGTCTCCGGATGCTCAAGATGATTACGACACCCGGACCCATAGTGAAACCAAGATAAAGTGAATCCTGCATGTGGAAAGATAGCTAGTAGAGATCGTCTAGCACTAAAATCAACAGAGAGTTCGTTTTGCCTTGTGAGTGACAAGTCGGCCGACCAAGCCTCAAGAAGCCATTCCCCGGGCCCGGCGACGCGTTTCTTGCGGATAAGGTCACCTCGGGCACGCGTACGCCCGTTGTGCGAGTCTCCACTGCGACCTAGAGATCTAATTGGTGGGGACCACGGCGACGCGCGCTAAGGAGTGATCCGCCGTTTCATATTCCAGTTGGCGAACCGAACGGTAACCCATTTCATATTATTAACTTGAGGTTTGGGAGGTTGTTAGTAGTCACCCCTTGAACTTGATTGTGAGACTGCTGTGTGGTAGGATTGTATACCTGTGTGTGAATCGGTTAGTCTTCCGGAACGAATTCTAGTGTTCGGCCCCGGGAGTGGTGCGCGATATAGATTTGAGTAAGCCAGTGAGTTTGGAGCTGGCCAGGGTTCTGAACTAGGCTTTTTTGACTGGACCGAAGACCCACCGCTCAAGGGTATATCTGTATATCGTGTACAACTCTCTGTTTGTATTGATTGGTGTTTGGGGACGACCCCACTAATAGGTTGACCCCCCCCCCCCCCCCAACCGTACTGACTCCGTTTGGGAACGAACGTGGTTGATTTGTATTATTCTGTATCTGATTGATATTGTGAAAGCAGCTCACGTGGTGAACTCCGGACCTACCGAAGATAAACGCTACCGAAAGGGATTACACAAGGTCACACGCCAACTCCGGTCGGGATACTTGTATTCCAATTGGAGACTGACCCCCAGTTGGGTTTTCCTTTTAGACTCGCTCAACCCCTGGGCGCGTAACTATACACCCTGGACGATAAAGGCGTTCACCCGCCTCACCTCAAAAGCGTACCGTCAGACTGACAGATTATGTCACCAGTTAAATAATGTGACAACTGGTAAGAAACCCATTCCCTTTTCCGCGATCTATTAAGAAGGCGCGGGATAGCGAATATGCCGCGCCGTGGGAGTGCGCAATAAAGACAGAGTTTGAGGCCCTACTAAAGAACGGCACATGGAAGTTAGTGCCTCTACCAGAAGGGCGACGAGCACTCGGTTGTCACTGGGTGTTCGACGTAAAGCACCATTCTGATGGTACAGTTGACCGATTTAAAGCACGGTTGGTAGTCCAAGGGGACACCCAGCTGTACGGCATTGACTACAAGGGAGTATTTGCCCCTGTAGCCCGGTATGAGTCCCTGCGGCTTTTGCTCGCACTATCTACAGTTTTAGATCTACACCTCCATTAAATGGACGTTTCTACTGCGTTCCTAAATGGTGTACTCTAAGTGACAGCATCTATGTGAGACAGCCAATGGGATTCCGGGATGGATCCGAGCTTGTCTGTAAGCTTGAGAAACGTCTGTACGGCCTGAAACAGGCCCCCATAGTTTGGTACGAAGTAGTAAATCGCTTTCCAAAAGATTTAGGCTTTTCCAGATGCAAGAAAGAACATTGCTTGTATCTGAAAAGGTGGGAGGCTGAAGGAGTCACACACACACTGATCGTGTGCGTCTATGTGGACGACCTTACGATGACTGGCTCACTGACACGAGGCGGTCCCCAAAAAATTGCCGACGATGTGCCGTCACCTGATGACTTGGAGTTTGTATCGGATGCTGATTGGTGGATGACTTGGATACGGCGCGGCTGTACCCGTGTGACATGGATGGCGACTGTGGGAGAGAAGTGATTTCTCGGGATGAATCCAGCGCCTGACTGCAGATGGGCCCAACTGGCTGGAAGTGTGAATCCTGGGAGTGCACGCCCAGGATTTTAGAGAACACTCAGTCCAGCCGCGGACTCTCCCTTACGATGAGTGCCTAAAGTCTGCTGGAAAGTGTCTCTGGAGAATGTATCCCA